TTAACGTGCCACCTGTCATTTAAATGACGGAAGGACCATTTTGGTACCAAATATGAAAGTTTGAGGATAATTTTGGTACTTTTTAAAGGTGAGGGATAATTTTGGTGCCAAAATCAAAAGTTGAAGGACTAAAATGGTACTTAAACCTTTTTTTTTTTAACACTCTTATTAATAGATCAAGAAAAGTTGCATTAATATAAATTGCTAAAGTTAATCTAGTCCGTTAAAAATATGGCAAATTAAACCCTACACTTTTATGAAATGTTGGTTAAAAAAAGAAAAAGAAAATAATTGATAGATAATTTTTTTATACAATTTTTTCTACAATCTTACATGTGATATAATGATTAGCTCTTTTTGCTCTACTAAAATCTATGATATTGTATGCATTTACAATCTTACGTGTGATATAGTAATTAGTTCCTTTCACTCTATTTAAATCTATAATATTGTATATATTTACAAATTTATTTAATTTTTTCGACTATCATCTACTCCTTTTAATGACACGTCAAAATTACATATAAAAATTACATAAAAAATTGTTTGAGTATCTTTACACAATAAAATAATGTTATATGTATAACTTCACCTTTTAGGAATTGCCAAATTGCAGTTGGCCATAAATACAAATGATATGATATAACGGTTATATGAAATATCTTCTCTACATTCATAACTCCTAGACCTGAATGTAAGATTTTAATATTATAAAAGTTAGATGCTATATATCTATTTTGGTTTAAACTTCCTATACTTTTTAAAGAAAAAAATGGTAAAAGACAAGAATTTTTACCTATATTATTTATACAAAATTTTAATCATTTGTAAAATAAAACATTAATAAATATCAACCATTCATAGTTGAGAGATAGATGGTTAAGATTTTGTGCGAATGACGTATGTAAGAGTTGTGTATATGTAGATTCCAACTCAATAAATAATAGAAGATTTCCTTACTTAATTTGTGTAAATGCTTAACTCTTTTAACTTTACTAGAATCACTGAAATTGTATACATTCACATATTTATTTAATTTTTTTAACTACCTTCTACTTATTTAGTAACACATCAAAATTATATATAAAAATTGTACGAAAAGATTATCCTCATATCATTACGTGATAAAAAGAGCTATAAGTACAACTTCACTCTTGAGGGCTTGTCAAATTGTTATTAGCCATAAATACAAATAATATGGTATAATGGTTGTATGAAATCCTTCTTCTCATTCATAACTCCTAGACATGAATGTAAGATTTTATTAACATATCCAATAGATCCTACATATCTATTTTGCACTCAACTTTCTATACTTTCCAAAGAAAAAAAAAATAAAAGATAAGAATTTTTGTACACATCACTTATACAAAATATTGACATTTGTAAAATAAAATATGATAAATCTCAATCCTTTATAGTGGAGAGATGAATGGTCAAGATTTTGTGTAAGTGATATCTATAAAAATTGTGTATAAGTGGATCTCAATTCAAGAAATAATAGAAGATTTCCTTAATTTGTGTAAATGGTTAGTTTTATAAATTAATAGTTTTGAATAGTAGATTTATTCAGCATATCATTTCTTGCATACAGAAGAAATACAAATGCACCAACTTTCAAAAAAACGAAAAAAAAGAAAAGAAGATGGTTTCATTCAAGTTTGTTCCCTTAGCTGCTCTTTTAACATTTTCACTTGGTAAGTACATTTTTTCTTTTAAACATTTTAAAATTTTTTATATTTGTGAGCTTTCTATTAATAAAATCCTATGATAGATCTACTCAATATAACAGAAGCAAGAGATCTGCAATGCGACAGTATACACTTTTTTTTGCAAACCAAATTGCGTTTGCAATAATGGTAAGTTTATTTGTGATGCTTCTCTAGTTAGATCGTTTGGAGAATCCTTTTCTCACATTCAAAAGAGCAAAAAGAGGTGCCACGAAAAAGAGGAATTTATGTGAAAAATAAACCTTAATTTCAATTTTGTTGAAATCCTTAAAAATAATAAAAGTTCTCATCTTTTATTTTTTAATAAGGCAATGTAATGAACTTTACGCATAATTAATGATGAATAAATTACACCTTGTTCTCATTAATCTGTATAAATTAATTTTCATTTTCAACACTACATACATAATTTTAATTAGATAATTAATAAAATTTTTAATTAACTTATATTTTATATCAACTAATAAAAAAATAAGAATTAATATTACCTTAAACCCATTTGGATCCGTTGGTGCTTAAATGCTTTAATCGAGTCTTGCTGAAATTGGAACTCAACTGATTCTTCTCTTGCGATCATTAATTTGAGAAATTAATTGTCTTTCTTGAATCATGGTCTCCTTTCTTAGAATTGGGAAAGAAGTGCTGGGCCGTTCAACCCAAACTTTTGATAGAATTGAGCTCTTTATAGGAATTTGAATTGGTAACTAACAAGTTGGATTGGATGGCCCAGTAGTTCTTTCGACCTTGGGGTTGGATAATGCGGCACTAGCTTGGCAATAGAACTGTTTAGTTACTTTCCCATGGTTGTAACTCTAACCTAAAAAATTGAAAATCAGAATGTTCTTATAGTAATTGGTTGTTGTATATCATTTTTCGATAATTGAAAATATTGCTATATATAATTTAAACATTCTTATTTGTCTGATAGCTTATACAACAACTGAAATAAATTGGATCATCGGATTGCGGGTAATTAAATTCATTTGCTAAGCTGACTCACACCATTGTTGAGGTACATGGTACATTATAAAAAAGGTTGAAACAAAAGATTCGTACATCTATAATTATTTAAAGATGAAGAGAAAAAAAAGGTCATGCATCTCTTTATCATATTAATGGAGATCAACAAGATGCAATTTGTGTATTGCATCAATTATGAAGAGGGTTTGGACCACAGGGGACTATCCGGCGAGAAACAGTGTGCATGGATCTGATCTTATGGCTGCCAGAACTAGAAGATCTTGCTAGGCCAAGGATGGTTGAGATGCTTCTTGAAAAAATTGGAGCATACTTGTTTCTCAATCTACCTGCTGCTTCTTCACCGATTGTTGCTTCTTTAATTTCCCGGCAACCCGAAAATTGAACTGATCCCAGCATGATAATCAGCATCAGGAACAGAAGTGGATAGTTTCTGATTCTCATGGTAGGAGGTTGTCTGGAACAGAGGATTTGGAGAAGAAAAGATGTTGCGTCTGGACCCTGGATGTCTGTTTTCTAGTGGCTTGGAAGTTGGAAGTTGGAAGTCTATTTATAAGTGGCTTTCAAGTCTTACTTAACTTCCTGCAATATGAAGAAATCTGCCCCAAAATCACATTTTCAAATCCTTAGAATTTTTTAGGTTAGCACGTTTCATTTGTATAAACAAAATGTCAAAAGTTGTACCAAAAATAAATCTTCAAAATGTCAAAAGTTGACTTTTTTATGAAGTCGCTTTCCTGCAAATTAGAGCTTGAACAACTAAAATGCTGAGTCATCAATAATCCTCTGGACAAGCTCTGAGTCTGAACTACTACAACCTAGAACTTTCCAAGCGACTCCGGTAATGGTTTGGAGTTTGGTTATGGACTAAAATGTTACAAGAATACAATTTCTCACAATTTTTTTTTTTTTATGGAATATGTCACAAAATTTCTGATTTTGATATGAATGACCTATTTTTCACTAAATCAAAAAAATAGATTTAATTTGATATACACAAACTACACATGATATTACCTTATGAAAGATAGTACTTTTCTTATGCTAAGCCAATTGGATTCATGCATGATGCATCTGTTTGGTATGAGAGAATGTTTTTCTTGAGAGCAAAAAAAAAAATTAAGGAACTAATCATAGTACAATATTTATGCCCTATTCTTTAATGAAAAGCCATACATTGCATGAAGCAACCTTTGAAGAACAGAACAGGTTTGAGGCTTAAAATAAATAGATATCTAGTTTTATTAATTATTAAAATATAGGTAAAAGGCCAAAAAATGTTGTGTTCATCTTGCAGGCTGCTAGCCTAAACAACATAGAACTGACATATAACCAAATAGGAGAGAAAAGAAAAGAAAAGAAAAATCGGTTCTCATGGCTTTGTTTATTTAACATTAAGCAATGTTCCAATTGTTTATGGGTATACTCTGGCCCCAGAAGTTGACCTTATTAATTTAAGGTTGCTTGGTTGCTGCTGGTGTTATCTACAGGCATCGAATTAAATGAACGAAGAAGTTGTTTTTCCTCCACTTCCAAGCTTTGATCCCTTCGTAAGCTTGAGGGTTAGGAGTTGTTGACTTCGTGATCAGTTTAGAATCTTGAACGGTTAGTGAATAAAAGTTTTTTTTTTTCTTTAACACATGAGAATGAGTTACACCATAAGAATTAATTCACTTATTTTTTGAATACTTTCTTATTGGTATCAAAATTAAAATTTAACATCTCAAACTTGAAATCTTAAAACTCTTACCAATTGAGTTCTTGGGCTAGCTGTCTAACATTTGAATTTTAACTTCTTCTTATCTTTTTAATGCATGTGTTAACAAGAGAAAATAACCTTCCTATTCGCTTCCCTTCTTGGTAATGATGGGATTTTTCTATATTTGATAATGTATGTCGCGTTTTCAACTCCTAGTGTTTCTTATATTATCATCACAATTATATTGACTCATCATGAACAATAAAAACAACACAACTCAATTGACAACCCATTATACTGTATCCTATCAAGGAGAGGGCTGATGAACCTACAACTTCTTCGCCTTCTGTTGACCTTTTTTTTTAATCAGCCAACTGCTTTTGACTTTAATTTCAAATATAAAATCCCATTTCAGTCTTATGCAGCCTTTCCTCATCAAATCCCATTTCAATCTTGTAATTAAAGGACTTCCTCATACTTGTATCCTCACGCTTATGTTAATAGCCAAAATGAATTTTTTATTTTGTTACATAAGAAAATTAGTTGTTTGATATTATAAATATTTTAATCTGAAATTAAAATTTTTAAATTAATGAATATCAACTTAATCAAACTTTTATTAATAATAATCATGATGATCTTCAGCTATATTATAAGTATTATAACGTCATGATCCACTTAAATCAGGATGATAAAGTCATCCAGCCTTTGGCAATGTCAGACGGAGATGCCTGCTTAATGCCTAACTCTAGTAGTTTTTTTAATTAATTAATTAATGAGAGATTTCTTCTCTTAACAGAGAGATCATTACCAACTAGGAGAAACCTTTTCATAGTGGTTTTAACATCGTCTACAACAAAATGAAATGATTCATGATTACACAACAGACTCTTTCAAGAACGTTACAAGTTTATTACTTAAATCTGAAATCTGGAGACTAATAAATATATCCTATACACTTCTATATATAGAGTACAAGCAACATCATTTTGGTTCCAGGAAAGAAAGACTTTGCTTCAAGATCTAAACAGTAGCCCTTTCTTCCCAAGAACCAAGCGCTCTCCTCCCTACCATCTCAAAAGAAAATAGAAAATACATTTTCCAGGAAAATTTAAATATGAACACTGGAGCAGGAGGGGGAAGCCAAGATCTTGATCAGTTGTGAAGCGGGTTTGGTCCTGCAGGGACTGTTTGATGGGAAACGCGGTGTGCTGAACTGAACTTCTTGTTTTCTGATACTGCAGAGAGAGAAGTAGCAGAAAAATGTTCTGAAAACAGCTGAGGAAACCTGGCTCTCAGTCTCAGGTTTTGCTGTGTTTCTCTGAGAGCAGCAAGGCTGAGTTGCCGACAGGTAGAAGGATGGAGGGTTGATTGCAGAATTGTGAACACCAGAAGTACTGGAAGTAGAGGACTCCGAATTCTCATGATTAAGAGCGGGTGGAAAAAAATGGAGCTTCTGAAAAGAAAAGGATCTTTTGAGTTTTGTAGGTCTTGGAAGTCTATTTATAATCATGAGAAAGGCAGCCAAACAAATTCAGAAGTAGTCCTATTGAAATTGACGTGAATGCTCATATTCTAAACATAATTAATATATTGACCCTACTCCTAATAATTGATTCTCATGCTAGCCCCATTTACAATTAAGGCATTCATTGGTACAGGGATTCGAGTCTGGAACTTGGGCATGGGCGTCAGGGCATATTTATTGCCACGCATATGCATATTACAGCTACACAAATATTATAATTGTTTTTTATTTAGAATAATTAATAACAGCAATTATAAATTGATATATGATAAAATAACAAATATTTATTACTTAGTAATTTAAAATTAACTTATATATTGATAGTTTGTTTTTTAACATGTTTACAAGGGCAAGATGAAACCTAGATCCAAAGGGGAGGGGAGAATGCATTTTTTTCAATGTGACTAATATTATTAGATTTAAATGATTAAATTATATATTAATAATTTTAAACGAATTAATTAATTATAAATTAATAAAATCATATAAATTAAATACCTCTAAGTATATCTATGTAACTCTAACATTTATGTGTGCCATGATAACAATAAGCCTTGAACTTCTCAGATTTAACTAAGCAGAGAGACCTCATTGGTCGAATCATAATTTTGCTCAGAAATGTGGTTGATCAAAGAGGACAAGGCATTAAGTAAGTTTGTACATTTGATTGGATGTCTCAACGGTCACCTATAGCTCTGTCTACCAGCTCCAGGAATTTAAGTTAACTTGTCCCAGGGTCACTTTGTGTTGAGTAGTTTGCAAATGTTGAGGTCCCAC